TATCTATCTATCTATCTATCTATATATCTGGTTGAGTGCGAGTGCTAAACACATATATATATATATATATGTATGTATATATATATATACACATCTGCATTTAAACTTGTATGTATGTATGTATGTATGTATGTAGGTAGGTAGGTAGGTAGGTAGGTATGTATGTATGTATATATATATATATGTATATATATATATACATATATATATATATGCAAATGTATTGTATGAAGTTGTATGACTTAGGCATAAAGCCCAAACTTACCTTTGGGCAAGTTTGGGGCTCCAGGCGGCGTCTGCTCACGAGGTCCAGGAACATGAAAGAGGCCTGGAAGATTTGAGAATTTGAGCTGGCGGAGGTATGCCGGCTCTTCGATTGCTGAGGGTTTAGCAGGGCTCGGTCAAGCCACATCTCATTTTGGGGTGCATGGGGTCGGGGCTGTAAAATCTTGGGGGTGAAAATGCAAGGCCAACGTCAGCCCTAAACCCTAAACCCTAAACCCTAAACCCTAAACCCTAAACCCTAAGCCCCCAAAAATATTAAAGCACTGAAGTGAAGGCATTCCGTGCCTTGGACTCCGACCACGACGGCCAGGCTGGGGTCCATATGGGTAGTCCTCTAAATTAGGGTCCCTTTTGGGCTATTGGGTTTAGGGTTTAGGGTTTAGGGTTTAGGGTTTAGGGTTTAGGGTTTAGGGTTTAGGGGTCCCTTTTGGGCTATATTGAGGACCTACAAGCGGACCCAAATTGAAAGAACTACCCATTTGTGCGTTTATGTTACTGGTAGCTCTTCCCACTTGTGGTGTTAAGGTCTTCGAGTTGGGGATGCTATCTTATGCTAGATTTCAGTAGGTCGGACGAGATTTAGGCAGGACAGTTGATTTCACCTCAGTTCTTGAGAGTGTCAGATCTCTGCAAGCCTGCTTGCGAAATCACCCCGCCTCCGCAGCCCTTCCAAAATTAGGTGTCATAAATGCCTTATGACCTTTGGTGGGTAGGTTAAAGCTTTCGTGCATGAGCACTCGGTGATCTTGATCCCGAATGATTTGCAGGTCAGCCGAAGCGAGCTCCGTATGTTTGGGAAGAAGCGCCAGCCCCAGACGAAGAAGTGATTGTTATCGGTGGCGTCAGCGGGATGGTGGTACTGGTGGTACTCGTGGTACTGGTGGTGGTGGTGGTGGTGTCGGTAGTGGT